TCTCTCTCTCTCTCTCTCTCTCTCTCTCTCTCTCTCTCTCTCTCTCTCTCTCTCTCTCTCTCTCTCTCTCTCTCTGTGTGTGTGTTTGTTTACCTGTTTGTCTCTTTGCCCATTTGTCTGCCTGTTGGTTCGTCTGCTTGTCTGTTGGCCTGTTTGAAACTGAAGGTGGGACGTGGATAGTTGCAATGCAGTTGATATTTGCTGAGCATGCAATGACTGTGGTTGTAATGGAAGGCAGGGTTGGAAATTCTACTGTCAGTCGAAGAGTGGGAATATCCTATGTGATGTAAGCACGTTATGTCCTCCGCGAGAGTAAAGCCTAAATAGTAAATACTTGAATGACTGAACGACTATCTTTTTGTTTTTTTTTTTTGTTTTTTTTTTGTTTTCGAGTCGTCGCTATTTGGAGCAGCCAGCAGAATTGAACGCGTGGTCTACGTAAAAGATACATGTGCTATCACATTTCTCACTTTTTTTTCTTCGAATGACCTATGTCAGTCGAAGACCTGGTCCCATCTGTAGTTTGCCCCACCACAGATCTTCGTATTGTGCATCGACGGACAATGGTGTGCACTGCATTGTTGATCGTCCAGGGACCGACAGCCTGTTTCGTTGTTTGCTCCGATTCTCTCTGTGCCTGCTGCACAGGTTGTTTTGCTGGCCCTTCGTTCCAAATGACAATATCTGTTTGCAGACAGTTCAGCTTCCCATGAAACTGTCGTTTATACTGTGTTAAAATCCGGACCACCGGCGGCCTGGCCTTTGTCCGGTAGGGCTCCCGGGCGGGCCCAGCGCAATTTCGCACAGGGGGGGGAGGGGGGAGTCCTTTTTCAGGCCAGTGGCGGTCTCCCCAGCCGCCCAGTGCTTGAATTTTTTTTTTTTTTGTGAACGACTTTTAAGTATCTAGGATGGGAGGGGCTGGCCTTTTTTCGGCGACTGATCCCAGACGATGATCTGTGAAGATCGGCGGCTGGGATCAGTCACCGAAAACAGCCTTGTCCCATTACCCCCTTGCGGGCTACGATGCCGCATTCGAATTCGAACGGGGGATTGTTCTCCCTGCCCACAAAGTTTGAAGCCCCGCCGTCGTCATCGAGCTGGCCTTCGTCATCGACCTGCCCCTGGCACGTCGTCATGGAGCTGCCCCTCGCCATTGACCTGCCCCTGGCGCGTCGTCATCGAGCTGCCCCTGCCCCATCGTCATTCAGGTGCCCTCCACTCGTAGCTGACCTCCTCCTCGCGCGGAGCTCCCATCGCGCCGCCTGTCGTTGACCTGCCACATCGTCGTGGATCTGCCCATGGAAGAGGTGCCACCTCCTCCTCCTCGTGCGCAGCTGACCTCCTCCTCGCGCGCAGCCAACGGCCTCGTCCTCCTCCTCTCGTCTTCTTCTTCTTCACTCCTCTTCTGTGTCCTCATTTCGTCTTCTTTTCTCTCCTCCTCGTCTGCTCCTCCTCTCATCTTCTTCTTCTTCTCTCCTCCTCGTTTCGTCTTCTTCTTTTCTCTCCTCCTCTTCCTCCTCTTCCTCCTCTTGTCTTCGTCTTCTTCTCCCCTCCTCATTTTGTCTTCTTCTTTTCTCTCCTCCTCCTCCTCTCGTCTTCTTCTTCTTCACTCCTCTTCCTCGTCGTCCTCGTTCCGCCTTCTTTTCTAGTCTCCTCCTCCTCCTCCACCTCTCTTCTTCTTCTTCTTCTCTTCTCGTCCTCCTCTCCTTCTTCTTCCCCTCCTTGTCTCGTCTTCTTCTTCATTTTCCTCCTTTCTTGACATCCTTCTTCCTCCTCCTCCTCCCCTACTATATCCTACCGCCCGCCATCTGGCACATCCGCCCGCCATATCCCACTGCACACCAACTTCCATTCCTCTTTTTTTTTTTTTTTTCCTGCCCGAAAAAAAGAAGCGAAGCGGGCAGACTGCAGCTCTTCTTCTTCTTCTCTCCTCCTCCTCTCGTCTCCTTCTTCTCTCCTCCACCTACTTTCGTCTTCTCCTTCTCTACTCCTCGTCCGCCTTCATCGTCCTGTTATTATTTTATTTTTTTTCTCGTCATCCCCATACACTACCGGCAGGTCCTCCTCCTCCTCCTCTAAACCCTCCCCTCAGCGGACTGGCTGCTGCAACACACCCTTTTACCCCCTTGTCAAACCCCCCCTCCCCTCTCCCCTCAAACTCCTCCCCCCCACCCCACCCCCCAACACACATGCCTTTCACAAATTTCTCTGCGGATTTGGGCTCCTCTCAGCGAGCGCAGTCCAACCCCATTTCAAAAAAAAAACAAAATCCTGGGATTTTTTTTTTTTTTTTCGTCTGGTTTTGCAGAACGTCTGGACCTGGTGTCGGCCTAACCCAGGTTTTATAGCCCCTGCATCGCGTATTCACGAGTCACATGCAGAGCAGGATATAGTCCCTGCCCAGGTGGACACGCTCCCAATTCTAGCGGCAGTCCTCGCTCAGGATGCCTTCTCCCAAATGTCCCAGGATTGGCTGAACTCCCAAGTTGCCCCACCCCTCAGCCAGGTTCTTCCATGTGCTCAGCCATGCAATTCTCACAATGTATGCCTCTCGACCCCAGGTCAGACTGGTAAAAAAAAAAAAAAAAAAAACCGTCAGACTGATTCCTCATCCACGATTCATTGCTTCTCTTATCGTCTCCTTTGCCTTCATCTTCATTCCGCACTCCTAGCTTTCCCTTGTTTTTTTTTTTTTTGTTTTTTTTTGTTTTTTTTTTTTGGCGTCTTTCTCCGCATACTGGGGACAGCTTTTGTATTTTTTACGTGTGTTAAGGGACAAGGACCTTGTTCCCTACTCTGCTGTGTACAGGGAGCAGTACCCAGGCTCCTAACACCTGGTGCGGGGGCTAGGTCCCACTTGCACGAATTAAGAGATACTGACCGTAGATAGCAAAGATCAACGGCCCAAATCTCTTAATCCGTGCAAGTGGGACCTTGCCCCGGGCTGGAAAGCCTGGAACACCTTCCAGAACTAGCCAGGAGCTTCCCCCTAAATTCCCTTTGTCTTCTTTCCCCTTTTTTTTCGCTCTTGGTTGGCCACCCCCCCCCCCTTCCACTGTACTCTCCATGATTTTCACTGGGCGACCGTTATGGCACACGTGGATGCGGGCAGCTCGCGCTCAACCTCATCTCAATGTGGCCAGCTTTGTTCGTGAGAGACAGTACAGGGGGGGAGCGAAAAAAATAAATAAAATCAAAGAGTCAACAATAAGGGAAATTGTCTAGACTCCTTAGGGACGTCCGTGAAAATTGGAACAATGCAGAGAAGGGTAGTTAGCAACTTAGCATGGCCCCTGCGCATGGATGACACGCATAAATCGAGAAATGGACCAAAAAAAAAACAAAAAAAAAACCTACCGGGTAGGGAGATATCCCGGACGCCCGGGTCCCGACGTCACACCCGGTTTGGCGACCGGGTGACCGGCCGGGCATGGGCCCGGGCAGTCTTAGCGCAAAAAAAAAAAAAAAAAAAGCTCCCAAAAATCTGAGAAAAAAAACAAAATGTTATGTAGAATTGCAATACAAACAACTTTTGGCTGAGGGTCACATCAGAGTTCCTCACGGAACTGAAGATTGAAAAAAAAAAAAACAA